TGGTTCCTGTGTGTACCTAAGGGGAGGGAACCGCTCCTTTGTGCTCTTTCCTTTCTCTTATAAATAAGTGAGAAAACCCTTTCTGGCTATTTTCTCCATGAAGAAGGAGCTATATATACCTGTGACCCATTGGACGCGGAATTGGTTCATGAGGGGACCCCAGCACCTTCCAGTTCCAAAATCAGCACAGGCCTCCGTGACGTGTCCCAGATCAGACTTGCTCAGTGCCCACTCCCAACCTCCCGCTTCAACGCTGTTAAGACTCCTAAGATGACGATGAGCACGCGTGGTCAGCTTTCTCCACGTGTGAGAACAAGACATCGCCACCTCAGCCCTGTCCACATTTCCAACAGGATTTACATCAGAATAGGCTGGAAAGAGCACCCAGTGGCCAAAACCAGAACAAGTTCAGCAACAAAATACGTAACAGTAGTGCTAAATAACTACAGTACCAACAGAATGAAATAAATATGAAGGAATCCTTCCTGAAGTAAATCAATAGTTGAATAAATAAATGCGGGAGAAGGGACAACTCATCCTTACAGAAGAATTCGAGTTAATAAACGTGGACAGAGTGAAGGGAAGACAGAATCAAATTTAGAACAGTACGGGAATAGCTGTCACAGGCAACACCGACAGATAAACGCGAAATCAATGTGGAAAGTTTGAGGAGAAACAGGACATTTGCATAGCCTCAAAGTGATCTCCCCAAAGGTATTACGAAGAGACAAATTACTAATTTTACTTACTAATTACAAAGAGACAAACAGGAAAGTTATAGTAGAAAAACTTGGCAGGCTTCACCGTAACCAAGTGATCTCGGTTAATGTCACCAGGAGTGAACTATGTCAACATCACGTGACCTCCGATATGCCACACTAAGAGACAACATCACTCCTGTGGTGTTCTTGCCGAAAACGAATAACCTCAGCCTAAACATGACAAAACATCCGACGCACCCGGACAGAAAGCGTTCTAAAAAATAACCGGCCAGCGCTCTCCAAGAGCGTCAAGCTCATAAAAGCCACGGGAAGACGGAGGAAATACCCCAGATTAGAGGCGCTAAGGAAACACAACAATTTAACACAATGTAGGATCCCAGAACAGAAAAGGACATTCATGGGGGAAAAAAATGGTGCAATCTGAATAAAGTCTATAGTTTTAAAGTTTGCAGTTAGCTGTATTATACCAATGCTGATTTCTTAGTTTTGATATCTGTACTACGGTTATAAAAGATGGTAACATTAGAGAAAGCTGGGAGACAGGTGTACTGGAAATCTCTGTTCTATTTTTACAACTTTATGCATCTAAAATGATTTCAAAACAAAAAGCAGAAAACAAAACAAACAGGATTTAGGATCTGAATGTAATTGGATGAGAACTCCAGTTTCCTGGTTCAGTCCTACATCAGTAACGCTTGGCTTGCAGAGACCTCTAGGTGACAGGAAAGAGTTAGGAGGTGAACACAGGGCTTTACAAGACACAGTCACATGCTGCACCACAGTGTTCTGGTCAGCAGTGGACTGCATAGACGGTGGTCCCATCGGCTGTGAGGGAGCTGAGAAATCCGCATCACCTAGCGAAGTCGCAGCCATCGTCATGTTGCAGCGCGACTCGTCACTCTTGTGTTTGCGGTGATGCCGGTGTGAGCAGAACCACTCACTGCCAGTCATATGAAAATGCAGCCCGTACAATTATGCACAGTGCATAATACCTGATGATGATAATAAAAACTGTTACTGGTTTATGTATTTATTATACTACACTTTTTATTGTTATTTTAGTGCACTCTTTCTACTTATTAAAAAATACAAAATAAAAAGCTTAACTGTGAAACGGCCTCAGACAGGTCCTTCAGGAGGTATTCCAGAAACAAGAATGGGTACCATGACAGCTCCCCGTGTGCTATTGCCCCTGGAGACCTTCCAGTGGGACAAGACGCAGAGGTGGAAGACGGTGGCGACACTGACGACCCTGACCCTGCGTGGGCCTCAGCTAATATGTGTGTTTGTGCTTCGGTTTTTAACAAGAAAGTCTGTCCAGCTGTACGATGTGTTTCTGTTTTAAGCTAAGTGTTATTACTAAAGAGTCAAAAGTTTTTAAAAATTTAAAAGTTTATAAAATAAAGTTATAGTAATCTAAGGTCAATTTATTATTAAAGAAAATTGTTTTGTGAGTTGTGCGTAGCCTAAGCGTACAGTGTTCATAAAGTCTACAGCAGCGCGCGGTGACGTCCCAGACCTTCACGTGCACTCGGCCCCCCCTCGCGGGCTCTCCCACAGCAAGGGCCAGCCCTGCGAGCTCCACTCACGGTAAGCACCCTACACAGATGCGCCACTTTCTAATCTTTTATACCATGTTTTCACTGTGCCTTTTCTATGTTTAGATAATGCTTAGCTACACAGACACTTACTGTTGAGTTGCAACTGCCTACAGCATTCGGTACGGTGACAGGCTGTACAGGTCTGTAGCCGAGCAACAGGCTGTACTGAACACCCGGGCGTGCAGCAGACATGCCAGCTACGTCTGCGTAAGTGCACTCCAAGATGTTCACACCGTGATGAAATCACCTAACGATGCATTTCTCAGAAGGTGTTCCTGTCGTTAAAGCAATGCACGACTGCAGTTGTGGAGACGTGACACATACATATAAAATTCTTAGAGTAAACAGAGTCAAAAGGCCAGCCAGGAGTGACGTATGCAGCAACCAGCTCATGACTTTTTAAAAAGGAAATGGCTCGCCTTACGTTCTCCCTGTATACAGACAGCACTGTCGGCCAGCGTTGACCACACTGAAGAGGACAGCCCCAGCTCGTTTAAAGACAGCCTCTCTGTGGTTAGGCTACCAGGTAGATATGTATTTAGGTTCGTTTGTTTCACTCAACTTTAGGGGTGGCCCTAAGGTATCCCCAAGTGCCCCACGGCAGAAACTTAACAGTCACTGTAATTTTTCTTCTCCCTTCCCCTACCCTGATCTGCTATTGATTCTGTCTCCCTAAATTCATCTCTAATCTATCTCATCTTGTCCCGTCACCATTGATTTAGATCAGGTCTTGATCATTTTCCTCCCAGGCTGGAACAGAAACTTCCTAACCACAACTTTCTGTCCTGAGCACTTTGGCACCGACACTGGCTTAACCTACACAGCCCATTGGACTCTTGTTAAAGAGAAAAGTCTGATTCTCCCCATTTTAAAGATCCCAGGAGGCTAAGGGGAACAGTGACGAGCTTGGAGCTTCTGTTTCTTCGGGCTGTCCCCGGGAGAAACCTCTGTGAATCTCACCCTTTTCCCGGCCTAACCCTTGACCACCAGACAGTTGGTTTCTCTAGACCTTTGGTATGTTCAAACTTATTTAAGTCTGGCCGGGCTCACGCCTGTAATCCTAGCACTCTGGGAGGCCGAGGCGGGAGGATCACTTGAGCTCAGGAGTTTGAGACCAGCCTGAACAACAGTGAGACCTCATCTCTACTAAAAATAGAAAAAAAATAGCCGGGCATGGTGGCGTGCACCTGTAGTCCCAGCTACTTGGGAAGCTGAGGCAGGAGGATCGCTTGAGCCCAGGAGTTTGAGGTTGCTGTGAGCTAGGCTGATGCCACGGCACTCTATCCAGGGCAACAGAGTAAGACTCTGTCTCAAAAAAAAAAAGAAAAAAAAAAAAACACAACAAAAAACCCCACAAACTTCTTTTAGGTCATTTTTTCAAATGAAATCTAATGTAAATAACAGACACTAGCATTTTTTTATTATATAAAATATAACAAATTCTTCCACGTATATTTGAAGATCCATAAACATGGATAATCCAGATATGCAAATTTGAATTGCATTAATCCGCATTTATAATGTTTACTTATTTAGAACACAAGCTGATGTGTCCATATGAAAGAACCCCCCCACCAAACTGAAATGAGGAGAATTGGTCACAACAATAACCAGCATTCGTCATACTCATGACATGCACTCATGACATGCCAGGCACTGTCCTAAGTGCTTGGCATGTATGAGTTCTGTAAGTTCTTGCAAGATCTACCTAGGAGGCGGGTCGGTCCCTAAACTCATTTCACAGATCGGAAATAGGGAGAGCTTCTGGAACGCGCCTGCAGTTCTGGTTCCACTGTAAGTGGCGGAATCAAGGTTTGAATTCTAGGTAGTTTGACATCACAGACCCCATCTCACCCCGCCGTATGTGCCTTTCCTGCTGCCGTGCAGACTTCCGTGATGACGAGGAGAACAAGCAGGATGACGACACCCACAGCAGCACGACACCGCCGCCTGACCCTCCCTCCTGCTTCCCTGCGAGTGGGCGGCGCCAGGTGCTCTGAGTACTTATCTCCGTGGATCCCCACAACCGCCCTATGCAGCAGGGTCTCTCGCACCGACGCTGGGGCAATAGCGTGCAGTGGCCGTGAGCTGAGTCAAACTGCCTGAATCTGAACGCGCCACCTCCTGGCGGGACACTCTTCCACCAGGGCAAGGTCAGGGACGGGGAGAGCACCGGTGAGCACGTGCAGAGCCCGCACGCCTCCCGGCACACGGGAGCTCTCGGGCGCTCACTCTCGCAATGCGACTCGCACAGGTGAGCAGCTCAAAATCTTTGTCAGGCTAACACTGTAATTAATCTTGGGACGTTCCTCAGAGAGGTTTTAAATGAAGTTAAAAAACTAATTAATCTTGCTGTACAATTTAAACATGCTGATGGTTTCCAAAGGGTAAAATGTTGGTATATGTCTTTGAATGTTTTCAGTTATAGCTCTGCAAACAATTATGAACGTACTTTTAAAATGACATTTGAATGGAATGATTTAAGGGACCCCAGAGTTCCTTCCCAAGAACTTTAGGGTTCTTCAGAATCTAACTGCCATGGAGATCGCCATCCTTCCACACACTGAGCCTCTACCGACCTCCCTGCCCGCCCCTTACCTCCCTCACCAGCCTCGCCCCGTCGCCCTCTTCGAGCAGCCGAGTCCCTTTTCCCAACTACTCACGACCGGCCTCTTACCTGTGCCTCAGCCGCGGTTTAATCCCTCCTGGCCACGCTGCTTTCCTGTGCTGGGGGCCAGAGCCGAGGTGCTCTGGGCTGGCACGCTTAGAGGCGCCAGTATCTGCGGGACCCGGGTCTGCACGCACATCTCTGTCAAAAACAGGAAAAGAAGCAGCTAAGCGTGATGGTGTTCACAGGCAGCAGCACAAATGAATCTAACAAGAAAAAGGCGTGAAAATGAACCCCGGAGCCCGAGCAGAGCAGCACAGCTCGGTGCAGAGTTTGGAGCCTGCACCTAACGGAGTTCTCTGCCCGGAGAAGGAGAATCCAGACAGGCTGCGGAGGGTCTTCTTCCTATCCCGTCTATGTTTCTGTGAACCCATAAAGCGTATTTCCCTATCTCAGAAAACCCAGGTTTTCTAAGCAAGAGGGAAGAAAGACACACTAACTAGCATGAAGATAAATCTCCTATAATTCAGCGTTGGTAAGTCAGGGAAGGATTGGACTCACTGAAGCAGACTGTCAAACAAAGGGGTTCCCTGAAGCCGAGTCCCTGCCCCGGCTTCTCGCCTTCACCGCAGGAGCACCGTGTGACCACCTGCTCTCCGTTCGGCGGGGGCAGCACCCACCGCCTCTCGAGCTTGAGCTACTGCAGACTGTGTGGATTCCCCTGCACGGGGACGCGGCCTCTTGTGCGCCCTTTTCAACGCACCCTCCCAGCCCCGGTCCCCCACGCCGCGCCCATGCTCTCTCCCTCCGTGCTCCCAGGGAGTCGGGAGAATGTCAAGCCCCACGTGGCCAGCGCGCTCCGCCCTGGGAACAGCCACAGTTCTCAGGACAGGCTCGGACCGAACGCCCACACGCCCTCACTGCGCTCTTGTCACACTGTCCCTGCATCAGGCTTCGGAGTTTGTCATCGCCCCAGTTCGCTGGGCCCAGTGGTATGTTTTCAATTTCCATCTTCAAGGGTCTGTCCAGGCCTCTGGCCCTGGCTGCTGGGCCGACGGGCAGGAGTCTGGAGGAGGCACAAACGGGGCGGTCCCGTCCGCACCGCGTGGCTGCGGGGGACGGATTACCCAACAGCTGTTAAGAATAAGCCGGCCATCTGGCCTTGTATTTCCTGGAGCGCAGAGCGGAAGTGAAAGAGCTTGCTTTCTTAAGTCCTGCGGCAAATGAAAGGATTTCTTTCTGGTCTCGGGCCTGGGGGACGTGGCCAGGAGGCCAGCACGGAGTTTCCATTTCTAAGCCGAAGACGGTATCTTTGCCTCAGTTATAGCTCAGCACCGCCGCCTGCTTTTGTTCATTAGTTTCCTCACCAAATGTAGGATTCCTGGCTTTGAATTATTCAGTACGATCCCAGACCTGCAGTCTGAAGATCGGCTGAGCCTCCCACTCGTGAACTGGCTGCGCCGGGCAAGTCCGAGTGCCAGGCTCCCGCCACGGCAACTGCAAACAGAGGCCGCGCCCAGCAGTGCGGGGCCTGGCTCTGCAGTCCAAGTCCTGGCTCTCCTGCAGACCAGCTCTGTTTTCTGTCCTCTCCGTGCCTCAGTTCTCTCATCTATGAAATGGGCGCCAGGGCAGAAAAGTAGCCTGGAAGGTGTCTCCCCATCCAGCACCTGAATGTAAATACCACATGAACGCAAACAGCCACCCCACGACCACCCACTGGCGCAACACATTCTGTCAGCAAAAGCGGAGGGGCTTTTCCTTTCCAGGCCTCCTCCAGACTCTCACGCTGTCCACTACGGGAAACCAACTGAGACCAGGCCAGCTATTCTGCTAAATGTTCAACAGATCTATAGCCTCCCTTCCCTATTTCCTTTTAACTCACAAGCTGGCAAAACTAATGAGAGATTTCTTGGGGCTGTTTTATGCTGTTCTCCAATCGCAATACCACAATTAGGAGTGATAAACTAGGAATCAAAGCTGACCTGAGAAGGGTTAACAGGAGATAAGAAAATCATTGAAGCATCATCTTTCTTCCCCCACCACAGTTAAAAAACAAGAAAGCCAGGACGACCACCCATCATAGGTGCATTCATATTCTCTCCCCACCATGCAGTATGCGCAACGCCTGAACACATACTGGCTGCTTTTCTATTTGATATTTTAATAGCGTCCAGGGACTGCTTTCTGTCTGAACTGAGTTTCAGCCAATACGAGACAGAAAGGTTCCAGATCATTCTGTGTCTTGTGGCTCTCTTGAACACTGTAAAACTGAGGGCAGGGGCTGGGGACACTGAGGAAAAGACACCAGGAGCTGAGCCTGTGGGCCTGGCCTTCCCAGGTCGCGACTTGGCCGACTACTCCTTGGTCTTGTGGTCCCAGGTGCAGCGTCGCCCACTCAGAGACGGCCTCGCCTGGCGCAGTATTCTCCCTCTCGGCACCTGGTCTCTCCTTTCATTGCACCGCGTCTGCTTCATCGTCAAGGTGCCAAGCGCAGCCGGGTCAGGTCCACGTCTAGCCCTTTTCAGCTCCGTCGTCTTAAACTGCTGTCCACCCAGGCCCGGCACGTGGTAAGAACACAAAGCACGTTTGCTGAAGGAGTCCCGGAGCTTGCAGGGCGAGTATTTGTGTGATGCGTCCAACACGGAGCTCCGTGCCCTCGAACTCTGAAGGCATTAAATTGGTCACAGTACACTTCTGGGGGGGATGTGGGGTTGTCTTTTCTTCTAGTCCCTTTCTAGATAAGGCTCTGCATCCACTTCTTTGTGGAAACAGAATTCAGCCCTGACTTCTGGTCCACCTCATCAGCAGCAGGCTATCTCCAGACAGACAGACGGCCCAGCCTTCGACAAACCGCGGGCAGGCTCTGCAGTCCTGCTGCCCTGTGTTGGGAAGCAATCGGAACGCTTGTCTCGATTAAGTAGACACGGTACGTTTATACCGGGCTAAGTGTGTCCTCAAAACCCTTTGGAGAAATTCCTCTGGATCTATGCTGGGAGTATGGGGGTGTGGGTGTGTGTGTGTGTGCTAATTTTCATGACCATTTGCCTTATTGAAAGCCATGTTCTTGGTTTTCCAAGTTTCTTTTTATTTTGCTCCGTGTCCTTCAAGCACGAAGCTGGCCTTATTATCACACCTCTCTCCTAACATCCTCTGTCCCTTGGGTTGGCAGGTCTCCAATGTCACCGCTGTAGGTTCCCCAGCACTTTTCCCCTGAGTCTCCAGGAGGCCGAACAGGCCTGGATTTTCGGCTTCTTCAGTGTCTGGAGGAAGATTTTAAGAGCTGGTGCCCTTGGATACAGATTTGTGTTCTCAGCCAGACACAGGTACTCTTCGTTTTCTGAGGCCTGCCCATTCATCAAAGGGTTCGCAGGCATTCCTAGTGAACTGCCCTTTCCTTAAAGGCCCCCTCGTTCCTTTACTGACCTTTTGCTACCTACATATTTGAGACTTAACCTTCTGGGTCATCACCCCTTCATTACCCTTTTTTTGCTTTTTAAATCATTATTTACCATCTAGGATGCTCCCTCTGCATCCCCTCAGGCCTGTATCCTATCTATGCTTTGTCAGAGGCATGCCATGTGTTTGTACTTACTTAAAGACCTCTTCTGTCTTTCTGCTCACTCACCCTGGCCTAGCAGCTTAGGTTATTATAGGAGGGCCACACGTAACCTTCCAGCTATGCATGTCTCAAACCTGTGTCCAGGCTGGGCACGGTGGCTCACACCTGTAATCCTAGGAATTTGGGAGGCCAAGGCAGGAGGAACACTTGAGACCACCTTGGACAATAGTGAGTCCCTGACACTATAAAAAATAAAAAAAATTATCCAGGCATAGATAGTGGTGCATGCCTTTAGTTCCAGCTACTTGGGAGGCTGAGGAGGGAGGATCACTTGAGCCCAGGAGTTTGAGGCTGCACTGAGCTACAATGATGCCACTGCACTCTAGCCTGGGTGAAAGAGCAAGATCCTGTCTTAAAAAACAAAAACAAAAACACACCTGTGTCCATTTGCACCTCCTGACGTGGCTTTTTTCCACTTGATTTCCCCTGAAACTTCCAAAATGGATCTATGTGTACAATTTATACCACTGGCATTCAGCACATTTTTGATTCTTTCTGAAATGATAAGCTTAACTATCTCTAGATCTTGGCCACAACAACCTCTATGTCAACCTTACACAAAGATGGAGAAAGAGCAGATAGGGGAAAAAGCCAAATGACTAGCCAAATCTTTTAACTTACCTAAAAAATATTAATCTGCTTCAAGTTTACTTCTGTCTTTAGCCCCTCCACCCACTGAGCCCTTTGACACAGCTGGCCCAGGGCAAGTGCATAAGAAGACCAAGGGTCCTCACGCAGGGGCCTAAGGTTACACTGATGGTATGATAGCAGTGTGCCCCTAGCTACAAACACCCAGAGCCTAAGCCAGGCATAGTGGCGCACACCTGTAGTCCTAGCACCCTGGGAGGCCCAGGCAGGCGGACTGTTTGAGCTCAGGAGTTCGAGACCAGCCTGAGCAAGAGCAAGACCCCATCTCTACTAAAAATAGAAAGAATTTAGCTGGACAACTAAAAATATATAGAAAAAATTAGCCGGGCATGGTGGCGCATGCCTGTAGTCCCAGGTACTCGGGAGGCCGAGGCAGAAGGATCTCTTGAGCCCAGGAGTTTGAGGTTGCTGTGAGCTAGGCTGAGGCCGCGGCACTCTACCCAGGGCAACAGAGTGAGACTCTGTCTCAAAAAAAAAAAAACAAAACAAAAGCCACCCAGAGCCTAGATCTTAAAACGGTCCTGACAAGTGGTAGGCCGCACAGTGGATACAAACAATGCGGATTCTGGAGCCAGCTGCTGCCTCCATCACCTCGTGGGTGTTTGGCTCGAGCAGTTCACTAAACTTCTCGTGCCTCAGTATGCTCCTCTATAAAATAAGAATACGAATGGCAACTACATCAAAGGGTAGTTATGAGGCTTGAATGAATTAATATGCGTTAAACAATTAGAACAGTGCCTAGCAATAAATGTTAATTTCTTACTAACAAAACTGAAACTTACATTTATTTACTGGGCATGTGTATACCAGATACTGTACTTTAAAAACAGTAATTCAGTTAATCTTCTTATCA